TGCATTGCTTTGATTGGGAGCTTCCTAACAATATGCTGCCGGAGGAATTGGACATGACTGAGGCGTTTGGTCTTGTAACCCCGAGAGCAAACCATCTGTGCGCCACTCCCACTTATCGCCTTCACCTCTGATTATGGCTTAAGCAATGTTTCGATTTCTTGTTAATTAATATTCTCTGTTGGAAGTGTGATCATGTAGGGATTGTCTTTGCTGCTTCTCTACTCTAAGATTGGAATGTTTAAAGGTCTTCCCTTGGATTCATGGAATCAATTGTAGACTCATATCAGCATGCTGATGTATTTAAACCCTTTCATTATATATGCAATAATGAATATGATTATTCAGAGTCAATTATTGTGCTTCATCCTCCTAAGAGGAATTTTTTGTAATTAGCAATTGTAATAGCTTTGACTGGACCTATCACTGGTATCACAACTATATCTTATAATGGCAACCAACAAAGAAAGAATTAAAAATTTAGAAGCTGGGCTTGGAGGACTTCAAGATAGTGAGTTCAATGGAACTCAGTCTTATTGACAAGTTACATCATATGGAGGAAGTCATCAATAAGCTATTTGTGGCCTTGCTCTCGACTAAAGACTCGTCCAACTGTAACACCAATGATTGTAGTGGTCATTCTCGCCACAATAGAGCAGAGTTTAAGGAGGAAGACAGATGTTCTCAGACAAAGATTGAATTTCCAAGATACTCTGGTGATGATCCAACTAAATGGTTGAACAGAGTGGAATAATTTTTCTAATACCAAGGCACCATGGCAGGATAAAAAGTGTCATTCCGTCATTCCACCTCGCAAGTGAAGCTAATCAATGGTGGCAATGGCTATGCCGTGCCTACTAGAGGAAGGGAGAGAATTGGAATGAGAGGTTTTTGAGGAAGAACTTTGGGCTCGTTTCGGACCAGTTGATTATGAAGATTTTGATGAAATTTTTACACAGGTTGGCTCATTACAAAACTATCAAAATATTAAAATAATATTTTTTATTTTAATTTTTTTTTTGCATTTTCCATTTTTATCACTCTATTAAAAACTTAACTCCGATTTAATTTTAAAAATGACAATATCTAATGGAGAATAATAAACTACAACACCACTTCATCCTCCATATTTTTATTTATATATTGAACTTGGATATTGTTAGTGATGGGGGTGCTAAAATCATTGCCTATAGAAGGTATTCAACAAAACGTTTAACGTGGTTTGATGACATGTAGACCATGGTTAAAATTATTTTGAAGTATTAAAATTCCAACCTTATGATAGGATGGATTAAATTGAATTAAAGATATAGAACTAAATGAAATAACTAGGTGACATAGAGTCAATATGTAAATAGTAATTACATATTAAGAAAGTGGAATATAAATACCCTATTTTCCTCTCTACAACCGGCAACAATAGAGAAAAGATGAAGGGAGAATATTTTCAAGTTTCTTTTACAAAACAAATTGAGAGGAAATCCAACAAATTGAAGGAAGGGGGTTTGACTGAGTTTTTGGCAAAGGGTTGAGGGAAATAATTACACCAAGGCAATAATCTAGAGAGAATAAGTTAAGAAATTTAGGGATTTAAAGTGGTTAACAATGGTTAAAGGACTAATTAATTAGGTTTTAAAATTACAATGAGTATTTAATTTGTTTTAAAAAACTAGAATGGCTGATCATTGATACTTTACTCTCAATGTGTCTGTATTGTGGAAATTACATAATAAAGTGGTGTGCCATGTTGGCTCGATCGCGTCCTTCACCAACAATATTTTCTATTTGTAAAAAAAGAAAATATCCCCATTTTAAAACTTAATTTTTCCATCCACTGCAGATATTTGAAATCTTGATTATTATTCTTTTCCCCATGATTTATCTATATATTGAAAAGTCTGGAAAATTGTTGTCAAACGAATTTGTTTAACAGGAGCCATGCTATTCCTCCCCCCTTGTGGATTGTAATAAAAATAGAGTGAGGTTAATAATTTATAAAATGGGAATAATACCACTCCCTATTCTAATTAAGGGACTAAAACACATATGATCATGTATAAAACAACACATTGCGTTGATTATACCCAAATTATTCAGAATTATATTTTATTAACTTGAAAATATAGTAAAATATTGCAGGATTTTGAGTTCCAAATTTCATAATGGAGGATGGTGGAGGTTTTGTGTTCTTATTTTCTGCATCATAATTCTTTCTTAATTGCTTTTTTTGCCTATTTTGAACAATTGATTCGGGATTTTTCTAATATTTTTTTATTTGTTTTTAAATTATTCATTTTTATAAAATCCCGACACTGATGTCAAGATTATTAATTCCATTTCAAATATCATTCTGTTTCACTTATTGGTATAATATATTTTTGACGTTTCAGTATATATATAAAATAGAGAACTTATAAATAATAGTGTAAAATAGAGAAAATATCAAATATAAAAAGGTTAATATATAAAAGAAAGTATATAAAAAGTAAAATAAAGTTATGGCGAGCGGGCAATAATAAGCACCATGATAAGAATATATTTATTTATGGATGTGATATATGATTACAATTAACAAATTAAAAGGTATATAGAAACACAATCAAATTACAATTAACAAATTAAAAGGTATATAGAAACACAATCAAACAATTATGGAAATAAATTAGAATCTTTAATCATTTAAAACCTTTTGATATGACACTTGATTTCCACCATAATTGATGATTATATTGATTGGATTTTAATCCAAAATATATTGTTTTGATTTGTTTTCTCAACATGCCCTTTCAAACTTATGGATATTTTGAAGAAAACTCTTCATGAGTCTGAAATAGATAATATTGAAATCTTATTATTTAAATATGAAAAAAAAAAGATCTCGTAAAACCAAGTTATTCAAGCCAATAACAATGAAAGAAAATAAATAATTCTACGAGACCATATTTAACTCTACCGTGTGCTATAAAAAATCAAAGTCAAACCTTATTTGAGTTTGTAACTTAGGAAATATACAAGAGAAATGCCATGAATGGCGTAGTGAAAAAATATCTCCAAATTGTGATTGTAAGGACACCAAAAACAAATTATGGGATATAGTCTAAAACTTTTCATTAAAAATAGGTTGATGTTAATATGATTTTTGTTTTGTACGGATGTAAGTATGATGATGGAAAACTATGAAACTAATGGGCGATGGAAAATTATGGGCAATAGTCAAGCAAAAATTGTTAAAGAACTTCAGTATAGTATATGCACATTGTTGGCTATGATACCATGATAAAAATCTTATGATATGATACTTTATTTTTTTATATAATTAATGATTATATTAATTGGATTTGAATTTAAAATATACAATCTTGATTTGTTTTTTCGATAATTTCATTATTTCTTGATCAAATCACATGTTTTAACACATGGTTAATAATGAAAAATAAGACAATCTTTTTATTTATTATTTTTTGGTCACACCTTTTTATTTGTTTTGACAATATACCTTGATGTGCCAAGACTGCCACGCAACGTGGGCATAGATGGCTATATATAGCAGAAACTACCAAGGCAGAAAACAATTGCAGAAAAGAAAACCATTGCAGACCCCTTTAGCCTTGCTTCCATGAATTTCCTTGCAATCGGAATCACAATTCATAGCTATGCACTCATTCGTGGGGAATGAACTTTTTTTACAAAGCTTTGCATCCGCCATCATATGCTTGTTTCCCGCGTACACACAATGTAATTTGGTACGTAAAATCACAAATCTTGAATTAAATACTCATCAAAATAACATCAGATTAATCAATAAAAAAATATATAGCTAATTTAAGGAAACAACAAATATAATAAAAGGAATATTAGTATTCCTTGATGATCATTCATGTGTTGCAAGAAACTGTTTGAAGAAATAGAGTTTTCTTATCTATCAAAACTGATCTTACAATCTCTTTATACATAAAAAATATAAACGTAAACTTATCAGTTACAACAATCTAATAATAGCGTAACAGCTGCAAGGCTTATATGCTGGCATTCATTGGTTTTAAACCATTTGTTACTAATCATAATTAGGATAACTGTCTAACATTTCCCCATAAACTGAACACTCGATAGGTGACGAGTTTGGAAACAAGACGTTCAAAATAGTCAACTAATAACCCTTTTGTGATGACATCTGCGAGCTAAAGTTGAGAAAGGTTGAATTGAACTTTATGATTGCCAGAGACAACCTGTTCATGATAAAATGATAATCAATAGCAATGTGTTTTGTACGAGCATGGAAGATAGGATTAGTGGCAAAGTATGTGACAGGCAGGTTGTCACAGTTAAGCAAAACCGGACGAGTAAGCGAACAACGAAGTTTAATTAAGAGACCTTGAATCCACAGAGTATCTAAGAGCTTAATAGGCTTAGAAACAACAGCATAATAGAGTTGGTCTTTATGAAAAATGACATGGCGAGAAACATAAAGCCAACCTATAGAGGATGGAGGTAGCGGTAACCATGATGATGATCACTGTAGCCAACAAAAACACACTGAAGAGAACAAGGTTGTAATTTGTTAGTTACATAATCTCCAAGATATGGGTAACAAATATATCCAAAAACACGAAGGAATGTGTAATTCGAGGAAATGCCAAATAATAACTTATAGGGGGAAGTTCCTTGAAGGATAAGGGTTGGAAGTCGATTAATCAAAGAAACTACCGTACAAAATGCTTTGACTCATAGATTATGAGGCATGTGAGTAGTGTGTTAAAGGATGTGACCCATATAAGCAATATGATGATGTTTTGGCTCTGCTAACCTATTCTGTTAGGGTGTATGAGGACAAGAAAAACGATGCACAATGCCATTAGTAGCACAAAACTATTTAAATTGCAGGTTATCGTATTCCTTCCCCCCATCACTTTGAAATTGTTTGATAGACAAAGAGAATTGAGTTTAACATATATAGCAAAAGTAGAAAAATGACCAAAAACTTTGGATTTAAGATGCATAGGGAAAATATATGAATAATGAGTGTAATCATTCGTAAACAAGATATAATAGCAATATCCAAAAACAGAAACAACAGGAGACATCCACACATCTGAATCTATTAAAGCAAATGGCTTAGTAGAACAATGGTCATGAGATGAAAAGAAAAGTTTGTTTGATTGATTTAGCTAATGCACAATTGCTATAGGGGAGATTTGATAAATGAGAAAAAGAACCTAATAAGTAGCGAGAGATAAAAGTGCGAAGAACTTTATTGGAGGGATGACCAAGACGACAATGCCACAAAAAAAACAAAGCAAGGCTAGAAGAAAAAGCTTGGTTGGAGCTAGAAGATAACGTTGGAAAGATAGGATAAAGACCATTTTTACATAGACCCTAAAAGAGAACAACACCACGTGTAAGTCACAAATTTGATATCCTGAAAGGAAAAAAGTAATACTAATATTAAAATCACGAGTAAATTGAGTGACAAATAAAAGATTTTTACGAAGAGAAGGAGCACGAAGAACATGAGAGAGGAGGAGACAAAGGAATCAGAAGAAAAGGAAAGGTTACCAGAATGAGTGATGGGGAGAGTATCACCATTACCAACAACAACCTGAACAGAAGCTACATATAAAGTGCCAGAGTAAATTTTTTGCGCATCATAGGTCAAGTGATTGGTGGCACCAGAGTCCAAAGACCAATTAGGGTCTGAAGAAGACGTAACTTGCATACCAGTGAAAGCACGAGGATAAGAGCACTTGGCTTAAACATGACCAAATTGTTGGCAATTCCAGTAATGAATTGACTGGCGAGAGGGTGGAGGACCCAAAAGACCTTGAGAGAATGAGGAAGGACGTGGATCACATTAGAAAAGCTGGCCTAGGCTAGAGTAGAGGTGAACTTGAGATGAACCACCAAAAGGACGAGAGGGTTGGTCACATAGCCGGGGGTGACGAGGTTCACGGTTGAAACAAGCAGCAACAAAAGCAGCAAGGGAAGCCACAAGAGTCATCTGAGCTGCTAAGGCTTGTTGCCCTTCAAAAGCAAGAAGACGAGTTCGTAGGTCCGAGAAGGAAGGAAGCGGTGGGAAGTTCAAAATTGTTGTCACAATCATTTGATAGTCAAGACCCAGACCACAAGGTACATAAGTAACTAGATTAGAGTTGGATACAGGTTCCTGGATCGCAGTGAGTTCATCAGCCAAATTCTTAGCTTGAGCAAGGTATTCAAAGATGGATTTGGAACCTTTGGTAACAGAGAAGAGGTGAAATTTGAGCTAGACAGAATTAGCAAGGGATTGCTGTGAGAAATTTTATTGGAGACAATCCCAAATGTCCTTCAAGGTGGAGACCATAATAACTTGTTCTCACACTGCGTGGCGTCTAGGAAAATGGTGCAATGTGTCTATCTAGCAAAATATAAAGGAACAAGAAATTCTTGTTTCGTATTAGTAAAATATGGATTAGGAGTCGTCACCTTGAATTATGGTCACTGGAATCCTAATTAGTCTCAAATATGGGGTACAAAGACTATTTATGTAAAGGGAAGGTATTAGCACCCCAACTACACCCCATCTAAGGTAGGTTGCATTGTTTTAATGTCTGATAAAATCTAAGGTTGTATTGTGTTTTTCTAAACTTTGTTGATTTGTCTACAATTTAAGAAAAGTCCTCGTCTGTAAGGTACTCCTTATCTTATCGAGTAGGAATCTAATTGTTCTATGTTGTAAAAAAAATACCTTTTTAATATCAGGAATACGTTTTACATATAAGTCGTTATCCCTGATACTAAACAAAACAAAATAAAATTTTTGTTGTTTTTTTAAAATTTTAGTTAATGTTCTCTTAACTTTAATAAACTGGTTATGAAAGCCAAAATACATGTTAAAACATTATTTTTTGGTATATAAAAAACAAAATATGATTTTTTAGCTTTGAAATACTTTATCGTATGCATTAAAATATTTTTTCTTTTTTGGAAGTTTTTTATGAAAACCAGGTATTTTAATATCGTATTTTGTATTTTTAACAATATAAAATACAGACCGATATTAATCAAAATGATATAAAAACTACGCGAGGAAATTGTAAAATCCTGAAACAAATATTTTTGATATATTACGTTTTTTGAAATGGACCGGATCAGGCCAAAATACATTCTACGTGAACAATGTAGGCATGGCAGGAATGAAGCAGGAGATAGAAGAAGGGGAGAAAGGCTGACCTGCGGTGGCTACAATTGTTGGCTATACTACGGGAAGCAACAAGTGGCGGCATAGGTAGTTCATAGAGGTTAGCGGTGCTGTTTTTCTTCTCTCTCTCTCCCTTTTGTTTTTTGTTCTCTTCTCTTCTTCTTTTTTTCTCTTCTTTCTTTTCTCTTCTCTGCCCTCTCTCTTCTATTCTCACTCTCTCCCTCCCTTCTCTTCGTCTGTTTTCTTTTTTTTCCTTCCCTCCCTCTTGTTTCTGTTTTTTTTTCGGTCTATTTTTCTTCTTCTCTTTCTCTTCTTCCTTTTTTTTCTATTCTTTTTGGTCCTCTCGCCTCTCTACTCTCTTATGCTTCTTTTTCCCTATTTTTATAGGCAAAAATAGGAGAGGACGTGGCTTGGGCAGCCACTGTGCTACCACCCCTTCAACACGTGGAAAGTGTGGGTTGTGTTAGCGTCTTTTTAAAGTCATCGGGGGAAGGGAAGTCAGTGAGAAACAGAGAAAAAAAAATATAGTGCCACTCAAAACGGCATCTTTTCGAGCCTTTTTTTTTTATAATGAATAGTTGATGAAACGATACCATTTTGGACAAAACACGCCCCTTCATTTAAATAGAAAATGTGTTAAAGTTCATAGTGGTCCTTAATTTGTAATTTGTTCAATGAAGTTCTAAATTACAATTTTAATTTAAAAATCAATTCAATTGCATCCCTGCCACAAATTCAATAGTAGTCCTGAAGTTGGCCATCTTTTTCACTTTGGTCCTCGATCTTGAATTAGTGCAATTTGACCATCAATTAAGTAATAAACTTCTAACAGGCCCCTAATCCTGTTTTAAGTACAGCCCCTATATTTACGCGCATTGTCCAGTTTGGTCTTTGGTCTCGGATTTCTTCAATTAAGTCCCTAATTAGCCATCAAACTTTAATATTTATGCAATTAATCCCCTAATTCGACCAAATTAACTCTTAAAAAATATACTTCGACCCCAGAACTTTAATTTTTTCCAATTAAAGTCCAAACTGACTCCAAAATCAATTTTTCTTGCAATCAAACTCTCTATAAATTCAATTAAACCTTCAATAAAATTTAATTCAGTCCATAGACATCTAATTTTGGACTTCTTTTCCTCAAATTAAATTTTCTTTATTAACAGGGCTCTCATCAATTACTAAAATACTATCAAATTTTAATTTTTATAATTTTGAACCTTCTCAACCAATTTTTGACTATTCTTAGAGTGTTTTGACATCTTTTTCTCATTATTCCTATTTTTTTGTATTTTTCAAACATATATTATTTTTATTTTTTATTTTCTTCTTTTTTGTATGAGGGCCTAAAAATGGGTCATAACAGTTGCCCCTTTTTTACAATGCTTATGAAGCAAAGAATTTGCATAGTAAGTGTTGTAAAGATAAACAAAACTATATTTCTGACACTGATCTTCTCAAAGCTTAGTTGGCCAGAAATCTCATTCGGCGATTCCTTTGTATCAAAGAATAATATAATGTATGGTTAGGTTAAACTAAGATACCTTTCACCAATCCCTTTTTACTAGAACCAAAATCTTATGTGGGTAGGATAGACTAAGATTCTTTTCGCCAATCCCTTTTGACCAAAACCAAAATCTTATTTGGTTAGGCTAAAATGAGATTCCTTTCACTAATCCCCTTTAGCTAGAACCAAAACTGTCATGTTACAAACCTTTTGTTTTGTGAAGAAAGACGATCTATTTTCATGGGCGACCTGCCCACACACTCACACTTACCTTGATCTATTTTAATAGGTGACCTACCAAAACATACTCAAAATGGTCTACTTTAAGGGGCGACTAGCCCACACAAGCACGCTTCCCTTGGTCTATTTTCATGGGCGATCTGCCCAAGTAGAAAAGGAATAGTGGTCTTGTTGTAATGGGTGACTTACCCAGTTGAAGGAATGGTCGCATTGTAATGGGTAACTTACCCAGATAAAAACATGGAGAATGGTCGAATTATAATGGGTAACCTACCTAAAAAAGATAAAAGAGTTATCGTGTTGTAATGGGTGACCTATCCAAGTGGAGGAATGGTCTTATTGTAATGGGTGACCTACCCAGATAAAAACATGGAGAATTGGTCGAATTGTAATGGGTTATCTACCCAAGTGGAGAAATGGTCTTATTGTATGGGTGACCTACCTAGATAATAACATGGAGAATTGGTCGAATTGTAATGGGTGACGACCTAAAATGGAAAAAAGGTGGTGACCTACCCAAAATGGAAAAAGGAAAGAGTGATCGTGTTGTAATGGGTGACCTACCCAAGTGGAGGAATGGTCACATTGTAATAGGTGACCTACCTAGATAAAAACATGAAAAATTGGTTGAATTGTAATGTGTGACCTACCCAAAATAGAAAAAGAAAAGAACGGACATATTATAATGGATGACCTACCCAAGTGGAGGAATGATCATATTGTAAAGGGTGACCTACCCAAATAACAACATGGAGAATATGGTCAAGTTATAATGGGTGGCCTAGCTAAAATGAAAAAAGAAAGAATGGTCGTTTTATAATGGGTGACCTACCCAAGTGGATAGTGAGGGCTCAAAGGCATACTCGAAAGGGAGGCAGGGTTAGAAAACTCACTACCTAAGTGGTGAAGACTCAAAGGCGCATTCAAAAGGAAAGAGTTAGGTTTAGAAAATGCACTATCTAAGAAGTGATGGTATGACACCAATTTATCAATGTCAAAAGTAAATGCATTATGATTGAGATGTGATGTAACCATATTATTCGATAGTTTCACCCACTTTTACCTAATGTTTTGTCCATGTTTTATATGTAAAATGCCTTGATATTCTTTGTTTTATGTTTTGAAGGCACTTTTGGATGAAAAATGCAAAAAGGAGTAAATTGGAGATAATTGGCAGATTTGACGTTCAGTCGATGTTTTGTGCAGAGTGTGAGTTCTAGAGATCAAAATGAAGTGATTCTAGTGGCTCTAAAAAGCTAGCATCCATACCTTTCTGGAAATGTAATGCAAGAAAAATACAAAGAGGAAGATCATGGAAATCACATCCTTCAAAGTCAAATCTCGTATTCTGCCACTGTTGACCTTTGTCCATTCAAAATTCCATATCTGGAGCTATAGAAGTCCAATTGATGCAAACTCAATTTTGTTGGATTCATGACTCAAAGGTCTAGAAACGCTCCAATTTTCAGCCAAAAACGATGTCAGATGAGGGCGATATTATTTTTCAAAGATGACAACTGAATTCTGCCAGCAATCAGGTTTCGTGAAGAAATGAGTCCAAATTATGTTTCGAAGCTTCTAAACTATCATCCAAGTTATAATTTCAGCAATTTAGCCCCTCTAGTAAATCAATCTAGAAGGTCAAGAAAAGTAGCCACCAACCTCAATCCACCAACCTCAAATCACCAACCACAAACCAGCTGCAAGTTGGAATGCTGC